AGATGAGTCATACTGAACAGGAGCATTGGAAGTCGGAGAGCAAACGTAGGGCTGAGGAACAGGTAAAGAGATACCAAAAAGATTTTAGGATTTTCAAATCAACCACTAGCAAAAATCAAGTGAATAAATGAATGGGCACAACTGCCTCTTTTTTGATCTTTGATTTTAAGTGATCAGAGGAGAAATAACAGTTGTTAATGAATTTTAGAGTTCTCCACATTCTTCCCATCATATCCATCATCATGGTCCCCGCCAAAAACAACGAGTAATGTCACAACTCGAAAAGGAGCTGATAGAACGTGCTAAAGAACGAGGTGTTGACCGTGCTACTGCACGTCAAACTCTCACCGACAAACTTTTGTGGAAGGAAAAGGACGAAGTTGTGCGTTTCTTCTTCTAAAACGAACGTATACGTCATTTGAAAGCATCTCGAATTTCTGGATTTTAGGCAACAATTCGAATGCTTCGATGGGCATTGATTGTACTGAGCAAGGATTCCGTTGGAGTAATTCCAAATGAGATTTGCGCTGTATTGATGGAAAAAGCCACAATTGTGGGAGAGCTACGCTTAATTCGCCGTGGATTTCAGCCAAGTAAAGCATCTTAAATACCCCATAGTTAAAGAAATCCAACTTTTTCAGAACCATCAAGAAATGCGCAAAATGTTCGCAATGTTGTCTGGGATCCAAGCTTATCCTCAGATGTCAACATGGCTGCTGTGCAGCTTGTCAAATTTGTTCAAGGCACATGGAATGGTTTAGTTATGGTACGTTAGAAATGAAGTTTAATGTACATTCGTTGTGGAAATCGTGAAATCATGTTCCCACACCTGCAGAATCTATTCGCGAACATAGTAGTCGAGACGAGTGCACAGAAATGTGCGCGTTTTGCAGTGCAGTGCAGCCTTGACAGCTGTGAAAATGGACTTCCAAAAGATACAGCAAATTTTTGTCTCTGCAATATTAGCTAGTTATATTTTGAGATGAAAAGAAACGTATTTTTTGGTATATTTCTATT